GGCACGTCTTGCTACAAGAGACCATGAATGACAAGACTGAAAATAGAGGGATCACGGGGACGGTTTTTGCTAGGTAATTAATGTACAAGGTACAGACAGGAACATAATAGGATTTTCCAGAAGTGCCTAAATGAACCATAGACCTGATTATCCTCTCAGTGGGAATCACAGGTAGATGTCCAACGCAATAGGAAACTTCTCGGAATTCCACTTGGCAAAACGCCCGGGTGCCTCACTATCTCCCAAACCCCTAGACCTTGCATACAGATGTGTAAGGAAATGGCAGTGCCTTGATTTGCACCCTGCTTAGATCGTATCGGTACTCACCTGGAACTAAGCGCGTAAGAAGCTGAATGCTGCTTGCTTCAAGCCTGATCTCAGCTGACTGGCTTTATAAACTCTGGCTTCAAGTAGTAAAACTATTCTCGAGACTAGAACAACAGGAGTTGCAGCCACTGCAGCAGGGATCACTTCCGTCAGGCCCGTTCCTATCTCCGCAAGAGCGATCCCGATGCTCGGGGTACACAAGACATGATGTGCGGGTAGCGGCTATGACGGAGCGGCCTCTGGGAGACGTGTGCCTTGTCAGGGCAGTGGTTAGAGGCTGTGAGGTGAAAACTGGAAGCTAAAGGGCACTGAAAAGCTACATTTAATGAAGAGAAGCTCATCCACTGTATTTTAAGCCTCAGAGAGGTTACACATACAGGTACTCTAACAGAAGATTTTTGGTATAATGGTAATTTTATGTCCTTCCAAAGGCATTCACCTTCTTGGCTTTTAAATGAGCTCTACTTAGGAAAAAGAAAAATACCAGAAAATGGTTTGCACTAGAGCTGACATTAACATCTTTCTGACAGTCTCAGCAGTAAGCCTAACTACAAAACCGAACGTTAAAACAAAACAACTGATCCACACACAGAGAACAGGCCTGTTGGTGAAGAAGGCCCAAATATATTCAATAGCACATTAGAGCTGCTAATTACTGTTGTAACATACAACAGTTTAAAGAATAAAAATTACATGCTATCTCCTACACATTCTTGGAACTAGCTGTAATGATGTAAACCACTTAGATTTATTGTTTGGCTTTGACGTTCAATATGCAATTTGTTCGTCATGCCAAGAAAAACAAATAAATCACTACAGGAACAATGATTTCTGAAACAATATGATTAATAGTTTCAGATCTGTCACTTCATACAGAAGTTCTGCAATTATTTTCCTTCTTAATGAATGAGTTCCCTTCAGCACCACAAAAGGCTAAGGAAAAACAGTCCCATCAGGTTTGTTTCTTCCAAAAATGATTTCTTCATTTTCATCTTTCCTTCCTCTGTATCTGTACCGACCTCCTAATTGCCCTTTTCCCCCCCATGTCAAGAAGCATCGCTAATTTGGAAGTGGGGACACAGAACAAATCAGGAATGGTTGGACAAAGCTGAGGCTCAAGTGTTCCAACACTGTCACGGATGCGGAAGTACAGTGCTACGACAGACCCTGCTAAAAGGAGCTGCCACGCAGAACACCTGGTTTTCCCTGTGGACCCTCCCGCGCTCACACAAGACACTGAACAGCCAGACCTTCCGTACACACATGTTAACAGCAGCCGACAGCTTCAGCTGACACGGCGGGTACGGATAACGGTTTCCCCAGTCGTTTCCCAACTACCTGTATTTCTTGTAGTGTGCTAGCCTTACTCAGCAAACAAGAGATGCTCTGCTTTCCACTATTTTTTTGAAGATTGGATTCAATGGTTACCTGCAATCTACATCACACAGGTAATTACAGGGATTTGTTCTGGGGTGATGTTGTCAGCTTAAGTAACCTGCTGTGTCTCTCTCACTCTGCTGTCAGTAACCACAGCCTTCTTGGGGCCAGCTTCCCAAGAAAACTATTTCTTAAGAAGCCTCATTTAAATTTAAAGTTGACATAAAAAATAAAATCTCTTTTCCTTGCTCCCAGTTTAAAGACTCTGTGTATTGCTCTCATTCAGGTACTAGACTCTGCCTCATCAAAGGTTGCTCTATCAGAAACTGGTTAACAATACATAGGGAAGGTATTTCATCAAACACTAATCATTTTTAAATTCCTTAGCATCAAAGGTAAAAAGGGACTACATTTGCTGACTATGCTTTTGATTTGGCCCACCTGTGTTGTAATAGCAACCTGTATTATCAATACCAAATACACAGCTTGAGCTAAGCATCTCTAGTCAGCTGACACTGAACTGTATGTCATTGTTTCCAATGGCCACTATCCATGTGTTAATACCGGAATAATCCGGGGGTATCTATCACAAAGTACATATATTTGTACCAATGACTACCAGAGCCAGGTTAGCTTGTGTACATAGACCAATTTCTTTTCATTCTGGTCCAAGGACCAAGGGAATCAACGCAAGAACAGCAGCTGCTCTGGGCACCATAACCACACAAGAGAGGCTGAGGAACTTGGGAAAGGGAAAGACCCCAGAGGAAACATTTACTACACAGAGAAACAGAAGACAGACACCTATGTAGTGAAATCCCTTCTACATCCACCATTCAGAAAGAACATACCTCCTTGGCCATGTCAGTGTACTTCTGCTTTTCCTTTGGATCTAAAACTGCCCACCAATCCGCCAAGATCTTGGTTGCGCCACGGTTATCGAGGCGAGGATGTTCTTTTCGTACGAGAGAGCGATGGCGTTTGCAGAACAAGAGAAATGCATTCATTGGTCGGCGAGCTCGTTGTTCTGAGGACTCGTCATCTTCAGTTTCATCGGCATCCTGCTCTAAACCATCGGCGCCAAGGAGCGTCACCTGGCAGAACCGAAAGGGAAGAGGTGTAAACTCAGTTATCCACGCTTCTCAGGGAGACTGGGAATCTGTGTACGCCATGTGTGAAAGAGAAGATGCACACGGATAGACACAGCTGTCTCCAAAGGCCATCTGTTTCATCCAGAAGTCCCAGAGTTCTACATCAAACCTCCTCCCCTGATGTTCCAAGGTTCATTCATGCTCTCTGCACGACTTGAACTCTGTCTGACTTGCAAGCAGAGCAGATTTCTGAGCTGAGGACCATTCTCTAGTTACAGTCCTAAAGGGGCTGGAGGAGGAGATCCTTCCTATCCTCTTCCTACAGCCCAGAAATCACCTCAGTGGGATGAGGTCAGCAGAGCTACCTTGCACCTCAATCACTTGTGTTCGCAACTACCAGGTGCATAGGAAGGAAAGCACCTAAGTAAGGGTTGTTTCCTCATCTCCTGCTGTTCATTACTCAGCCTGTGAGCTGTGCTGTGCACAGCTGCCCAGTCAGAGCCAGAGGGCAAATCTCAACAGAATGCACTGCTGAAATATGCCCTCTCTGCTCACAGACCAGCCTATCATTCCTGCAAGGGGTGAACCACGTAAGACTAGCTCAGCTAAATGAAAATTATTCCTGTACAAGACAGAAGGCCTGTAATGTCAACAGAAAATTATTCCTGTACAAGACAGAAAACCATCTCCTACCTAACCACAACATGGCTCTTTTATGTCACACTGTAGCAAGTGGCCTGTAATGTCAACGCAAAGCACTGTCAGAGTACCAGGCTCTTCTTTGCTGCTCCTTATCCTTGTCAAAGTCACTCTTCCTCATCAGTATGTGGCTCAAGGCAGTCTCGTCATCACTGACCTCTCCATCAAGGAGGTGCAGATATGAACGTTATCCACACCATGGAAACATCATGTCTCCAAATTCCCACTTCTTGTTAGAGAGGATGAGTCTAACCATACATTTGTGAGGTGCCACATTGTGGGACCCTTATGAAAAAAAGGGTGAGGCCAGCATCTTTGAACAATACCAAAATACCAAGCATGAAACGAGAGAGGTATTATTCCACCTGCGCTCTCAATATTCTGGAGGACAAACTCAATTTCCCATGCAAAGATAGTAGAATTGTTGACAGCTTTTTCTGCTTTTTTCTCCTTTAATATTTTTACTTTTTTAATCTTTAAAAAAAAAGAGACAGAAGAGTATTAGCTTGATATGTCCTCAAAAGCCACTAGAAGCAGCTATTAAGCACAGGCTAACTTCATCTCTAAAATGAACAATTAAAAAAAACCCTTGTCAAAAACCCTCCTTGAGCAATCAAGACCAAGATGTGTAACACATTATCAAAACAGCCTTGTTAAAACTCTTACAGTAATTTAAAAAAAAGTTTTGTCTGAAATTTAAAAGCATGGTTGACAACTCACTTCTTTTGGTGTTATTTGCAATTTATCTCTGTAGCCTTATGGGTACAGCATCACTTCTTTTAATCGGCTGTGTCGGTTCACAAGAAAACAGCAAGAAGCAAACAAAACAAAAACAGAGCTAGGGAGAAACTCACCCACATAAACTTTCTACAGTCAAAGCAGCCAATGAAGCCTACCTTATCAATATCTTCCTCTTCCTCTTCTTCCTCTTCCTCTTCAGAGAAGTCAAGTAGTTTCTTGGCAAGCAGGGGATGCCACTGAAGACACTTTCTTTTTGGTCGCTTCCCAGTCCCTTCTCCTTCTGTCGAATGATCCTTACTCCTACTACTGCCTTTCATTACTGTGACCTGTCAGGCAAAACCAGTTGTAAGTTCACAACAAACCCTCGAGTACAAGCGACCATCATACAGACACTCAAACAAACGACAAATATATGGGGCACTAATGCTAGATGCAGAAGTTTTTTGGCATGATAATAGATAGAGGTTTATTCCAAGTATCGACAAGAGCATGGTGTATCTTCTCCAGTCTTAACATTTCCACCTAATGCCCAGATTAACTAACATACAGTTTAAGAGCACAAAGGATGACACTTGCCATCCAGCCCTTGAATGTGCTCCTGTCTGGAGGACAGCAGAAAAGCCCTCACACTTCGCGGGTCAAGTGAGTGAGAGACTCTTCCACGCCTGTGACCAATGTGGTTTGTCATGTTTTGCCAGTGAAAATGTCAGGATAACCCTCTTTTTGGCAGTGGAAGGTATCGCCAGCCACTCATCTGTTAATGATGCGTTTACATATAGCAATGCTGATGCAGAACTCCGAGACACTATGAGCTAGGATTTCCCAAGTGCCATTAAAAGGTGCAGTAGGGAAATCTGACTCCATGCCCAGGAGAAGTGAATTCTACTACATGAATTTGAAGCAAACAGCCGGAAGTAGTTACCTTGACACTTCCAAAGTGCTCACAAACAAGACCCCACACACAGCAAACAACACAAACCTTCAAGTGCATGCAGAGGCTAAATAATATTTACACACCTATCCTGCGTGTGTGTCCTCATCTGAAGAATACCTCACAACTACCTGTCAGTAAAAACATGTGCCAACTGCCAATTTAAGGGATGGCTTACCCAAGGGGTGAATAAATATTGAGGTAAATAAACCCAGCACACGACATCCAAGTACCGAAGCCCACAGGCAGCAAGCACAGCTGGCACACAGTCCACTCCCTCGTAGCCTTACGTTTACACTGTGTAATGTCAGTGGGTAAATCCGATGGGAACATGGCTGGCTTTCCAAGAAAACACCATGAACATCAAAACAAGCTGGAGAGCAAACTCTTAGCCAGCTAGATCTTTATAAAGCTGACAAAAATTGAGGAAGTCTCCCAGGGACTTCTCCCCAGCAAGATAAAAGAAGCTGGGCTAAGCCCTGGTCCCATGGGTGAGGCCAGGGAAAGCTCTGTGGTTGACTCTTGGGAGAAGGGCATGAAAAGAAGTCGAGCCCTCTAACTGCAAGGTCACATTGCATTTTAGAAGGTTGCTTTCTGTAAGATGCCTGCTAGAGCGCTGATGCTGCAGCCTCCAGAGACAGAAGGCAAAGCTGCGACACCTGCACTTACTCCGGCTGCCCAAGCCCTGGTGCCACCGTCACGGTGAATGCCTCAGCAGGGCCACTGCACGCAGCAGCTGCAGCCTCTACCGCTCTGGCCACGCTCCTACATATCCCACCCTTTCAGCAAGCCCTAATTCTGCTTCTGGCCGATCTCTTCCATGTGTGTTTCTCACTGGTTAACTCACTGGCATTTTGGCAACATGCCCCTGTTTGCACCAGACGTGTGTGTAAGCAGGCTCCAACAGCACAGAAAGCTGGAGCCCCTTCGGACACTGCTCGGTGGAAGAAACAACCGAACCCTGAAGGAAGCAAGTTCAGAAATTTTCACCAACCTGCAAAAATGGCATTTTCCTAGTTGTTAGATTTTGTTAGTTCCTCCCCACTCGTCAGCAGTAGCCGGCACCCCCCAGTTAAGGATGCCCTCCACCTCCGTAGCAGCTCCACACTTCGCTGTCCCCATCGCACTGCGTCTACCTGGAGCACGTTTAAACTCTGAATTCACAGCAGCCGCCCCCCTGCCCATTTTCTGTCACCAGCTCTGGTCTTTTCAGCGAGTATTACACGGCACATAATCACACACCATTTCACCTGTATCCGTGTGGGTTGGAAAGCGGATCCACATACACAGACAACTTTGGCTTTAAAAGAACACCGAAGTGTGGAAAATCAAGCTGCAAACCAGTAACATGAAATGCAAGTTCGATGTTGTTTCTGCTCCACCGTGACCTCCACCACGTAACCACACTGCACCGTCCTCCCCACCTGTGTCTCTCCCTAAAGTGCTGAACCACCATTTGCTTTTTTTGGGGTCTTTTCGGTTACAAATCACCAGAGCAGAGATTCGTTGAATCTCACAGTTCGTTACATGACAGAGATCTGCCTGTTACTGTAGTCAATAAAGTATGTGGCCCGTTTCTGAGCAGGATAAACGTGCTGCAAGTAGGATGGGGAGTGAGCTACTCCAGCCCTTACCACTCACCTGTCTAGGCCAGCTAACCATATGGTTTCTGCCTACAGTCAGTCCTAAGTAAGATGAGTATTACTAGTAGCCTCCTACCTTGTTAGTGTGAAACTAAAGCAGTGTTTGGACAGTGCTCCATGATCCTGCTTTACACAGCTCAGCTGAAGTCTCAGGGCTGTTTCAACAACAGCACTGCCTTTTGCTGGCACCTCTCTGCCTGCTGCCCTTCGAAAGATGAGCACGAGAGACTCAGGACTTAAGTGATCCCACGGAGTATTTTACATGTGTTCTCCATCACCCCCGAGGCCCTGCCTATGGCCAGCTTACATGGACACTTCCATTCATTTTTTTTGTGCGGAAGACTTTGGCAAGACATAGTGTAACTACTTAGACAAGACACTCCATGTTCAAGTGAATGATTAAGTGACAGCCCAAGTTTTACTGGCATTATTTACTTGTTGAATGGCAAAACATCAATAGAATCCATTTAGTGGACTCTTCAGATCCTATTTATTTATCTGATTTTTTTTTTCCCCTCAACACATCATCAATAGCACGCTAGTTGCTTGTTTTGTATGGGAGATGGGAAGCTGGCAGACAGAAGCAAGCAAAAATAGCAGCCCCTTCGCAGGGATCCCAGAGTGCTGGCAAGCATCCCTTCCAGCAAGCTTTTGAAAGCAGAGCAGGACTCGGACCCTACAAGAACTGAAGCATGTGTTTAAACTTGGCAATTAAACCGTCCCATAGACAGTCACAGAACAATTCACAGGCAGTCTTTGCAGGATTTGAGGCTTAACAGTATAGAAGATAACACAGCACCCAAAGTGCAAAGTCTGCAGTAAGTGGAATTTATCAGCCGTATCACAGAAAAAAAATTCACCTACACTATCAGCAAAAATATCATATATCTTTTAATGCAGATGTAATGGCTTTTAGAAGTTAGCAAGGGGAAAAACAATTAAAACTAGCTAACGATTTTACAAGATAGTTCTCAGCTTAAGGACGACAAAAAGGCGACAGACACTAGGGAGAAAGTAGGAATATTCCAACAAGACAGAAGTATGGACAGCTTTGGCTAAAATAAGCTACATATGCTTTATAACATCACCAGAGGATACCTGTCAAGCCTGAGATTCATGATCCACTGATAGCAAGAGAGATCTTCAGGGTACCTCTACGTTCTACACCTACCGTTAGTGCAGATACAAATCAAATGTTAGAGGTATTGCTCCAGTAAACATAATTAATACTTTTTTTCCTTTTGATTTTTTTTTTTGGTATGCTAGCTGTATTATATCTCCTTTCTGGTCCTGAAAACATTAATTAAAGAATCACAGTTTACTTGGATATCTTATAAATATGTATACCTAATAAAGCTTCAGATGGGGAAAAAAAAAAGATTCCTTAAGAAAAGAGCTGGATGGTGGGGGCAGTGGGGGAGAAGAATGACAGTTTAGCTTTTTACAGCGTATGTTTCTGTATATATTACACAACTGCATGCAAGTCTTCATTATTTAACTGTCATTAACAACAGATGTTTGATTACCTTCATTAAGTTCTGTTTCCCTCCTATCTTCCTTCATTATTTACAAAACCTGACATAGACAGCTGACCAACTTCCACCGTCCTAATTCTGGGACGGCCTCACCCCACGGCTGATCTGTCACTGAGGATGCTGCTGGTGCTTGGGCGGAACAAGCTGCACTCCCCAAAACCCCAATTCCTTATAAAGTCTTCAGGAGTAACCGACCGCTGTAAGGCACGTGCGGTAATACAAGCTAGAAAGAAACCCAAGGGCTGCAAAAGCAGAACCCCAGAGGCGCATATTGAGACTGTGGTGTAGTCCCTGTCGGAAGTTTTTCCCTGGAAGAACATCTGAACTTCAGCAAAACTCCTCTTATTTCCACAAGGACAGTGGAAGTGAACTTCTGTGTTCCTGGGACCTTAACACCACAGTTCCTGGAGTCCAGCTGAGCCCACAGCTGACTCCATGCAGATTACGGCTACAAAAGAGCAAAAGGAAAATTTCAAGTGGGTTTCCCCCGTTTTCTGCTCTGTTTTAGACTACCTAAATTCTCTACTACTTTATAAGAGCAAATACCCAAGGGAGAAAAGCGATGACACTAATGGCTTGGCGTTCTGAGGGCTACCGAGTCGGTGAATGGCGCTGTTTCAACAAAGAAGTGGGAGACTGGAAAATTAGTTCATGTTGTTGCAGGTCGAGTGGGCTGAAGAAGTATTCGAATTTTCAGATAAAAGCAAGAGGAGATTGGTGGCAGTAAAATACACCTACATGAATACAAAAGGTTTTGGGGTTTTTTTTTTTTTAATTTAATTTCTTCTAGCTTTCGAATAACTGAACCAGAGTATTTCTACAACGAAGGACAGAAAGTAGTTGGCACTAATTACTGACCAGTCAGTGAATACATTCTTTATTGTTTCACAGCGGAAAGCCATTAATGAGCTTTCTAACTTTCGGAGATGTGATGGTTTAATGGGGGACACGCTGAGACTCAGTGGAGTCCTGTTTGTCAGCAGAGGTTTGGGATAGACTGTCACCATGCAGAACACTTAGCAGCACAGCAACAAGCCTTACTTGATTTTTAATGTCATGCTCTTCCATCTCCATAAATGATTTTAAACTGTTCCTTATTCTTTTAAACTCAGATCTGAGTTGCTTACTTTCTTTGTTCTCCGATACATAAAATTAAGCTCCAAGATCACCAAAAGAGCATCAACAGCACTTTTTTGATTGTTGGTATTTTTAGTGAATCTTTCACATCTACCAAAGAGGAGTAAAAGCAAC